TGAGCGCCATGCACCGTTTAGACCATAGCCATAATGTCATCCCGAAGGCTACTTCTTAGTAATTCACAAAGGGTTCACTCTTCCGTGAAGTACAGCGCATGGATACTTTCCAGGCAATACCTAGCACGTACCTTGCTAGAGAAATATTTGTGGTAGATCCTCGATGAATCAAGAGTATGGCTTCTGGTGCGTCTTCCTTGGATAGTGCTGGAAGTAGTGGTGAGTATAATTTTTAGTTTTCCATGTTATGTGTCAATGTATGTTTGTATTGGTTGTTTACCCTTATAGGTACATATTTAAATGAGAAGGTTTGACCTAATAATTTCAGTGCTACTGAAGGATGGTTTGTTTTAATTTTAGTCTGTAATGCAGTAAGAAAGTATATAATAGAAGCAGAAATAATCTGTTTATTTTTAAGTATGGAAAAGATACACATATATAAATGTCAATGTAATGTTACATATTTTTACATATCAAAATACATTGTCTTGTAAAAATTCATTGTCAAAAAATAATATCGAATTTTGGACAGAAGAATTGAAAGCTAAATATATAGTTTTATAATTTTGGATAACTGAAGCATTGTAGGTGTGTGATAGTTAAGGGTATTTGTAATTTCACTTTGCAAAAAGCAGTGAATCATGATGCTTACATGCGTGACATAGAGTTTCTTTCCTGGTGAAAGTTAGCTAGACCTCTGATTACATTGTTCTACCAATTGTAACAACATAGTGTATATTGTACAGATATAATCATTTCAGTTTTATATTTATAGTAGATCATATATTGTACTTACAATTGCTCATATTCTTGTTTTTTGCCTTTTGCAGATGGAGCAATCAATATGGGTAAGATTAATATGCGAAGAGGATACAAATACAAATTGTGTTGTGTATTGAATTTTACTTTTCACCAAAAGTGTTTATTTTTTTATGTATTTTATTGAGATATTTATCTATATTATACATTTATGTAAAGCAAATTAAAGTTGTATCTTTATGTAAAACAAACTTTCACACAAAAGCATTTTATATAGCGATTTTTAATTTAATGCACATGTCGTTGCACTGATATCACTTTTATATATAGAAATACACGAATTATATTTAATTGCGTAATATTTATTGTTTTGTAATTTGCGTTATTGGACGTATAACTTGAGTGTATGGCATGCAGAAAGAGATAGTGGAGGCTATGGCAGTGTCAGCAGTCCTGTTGGTGGGCCTGAATGTCGTAGTGATTATGATGGTTTGCAAGCACAATGTGATCAAGCCATGCATCAGCTTCAGCTACTTAGGCATAAGCACTCCGATACTATAAGACGGTTTGTCCTGGTTTTGTTTAATGTGGTATTGCTTAATGTTTGTGTTACCGTGTTTGATGTTTTGTACAAAACAAGTACAATTCAAATTACACATTTATCTAACAAAGTATTTAATTGAATTAATTTAAATCTAGGTGTGAACATACTATGAAGGAATTGGAATACTACAGGGGACAACATATAGCAGTCATGAATCAGTTAGAGGCAACATCACAAGAAAGTTCCGCGCTGCGCGGCAAATATGGAGATTTAGTGAATGACAAGCAACGCTTGGACCGCGAAGTTCAGGCGTTACAAAAGGAAGTGTCTGAATTAAGATGTCAGAATCAAGAAGTCCTTGTTTCTGATGCTAGTAATAATGATACTATGAATCAGCACTATTTATCTGCACTTCGAAAATATGAAGCTGTTAAAGACGAGTACGATGCACTTAGAAAACGGTATGATGATTTAATAGCATCGCATTCATCGGCCGTTAATAAGGTATGTACGTAATATTGGTTTTTGAAACATTGAAACACGTATGTACAACTTACTAACAATTATAATGCAAACTTTATATATATATATATATGTGTGTGTGTGTGTTTGAACATAGTTGGAATTATCTCAAGAAGAGGCTACCAGATTAAAGAAACAGTATGATGAAATTGTTCAAGAACGTAATAGCGCAGTTCGCGAGCGCAATGGTTTAAAACAACAGTGTACCGCTGCTATTAGACAGTGGGATATTGCATTAAGGGAAAGAAACGAATATCGTGAAGCCTTAGCCAAAGTACAGCAACAACATGAGGAAGCAGTGAAAGAAATTAATCATGCAATGGTGCTACGCATGAAGGCTAGTAAAGATATGAAACGATTAACGGAGGAAAGAAATGCCGCATTGCAAGAGTATAGTTTAATTATGGGCGAACGAGATACAGTGCATAAAGAGATGGAAAAACTTGGTGATGATCTTACGCAAGCATATACAAAAGTCACACATCTAGAAAATCAAAATAAACAATTTATGGAGGAGGTAAATTTATTTAAACTTGTTGCGGAAAGCAATTAATTCATATAATTGACTTCACGATAATTTTATTTTTATCAAACCTAAACGTATATATTTTTATCGATTTATTATATTCTACTATTTAAATGTAGTATAAAATACATTATCAATACAAACATATAATTAGAAATTGTTAGACACAATTATTATTTTTCTTCTCATAGATTTTGTATTGGATTTAGTTATTTATATACTGTACTTGTTACTACGTGTACTATTTTTAATGTTCTGTATTTTAATATCTGTTTTCCTTATTTTTAGAAAAAAGCTTTATCCTATCAAATTGAAACTTTAAGAAGAGAAATTTCATCCGCTTTGCAAGACCGAGATGATGCTTTGAAACAATGTAACGAATTACGTCAAAAGTTTGGTGATTATTCCGAAGGTTCAAACAGAGATTATAAAAATCGCATGGAATTACACTCGTATAATCGTGAACGAGATAATTCAAACAAAGAAGCAGAAAGAGAAAATAACACGGCAGATTACACTAAGCGAGATAAGGAACGTATGGATAACTTGGATCAAGCGAACTTGGAGTTAGATAAACTTAGAAAATCGGTCGACAAGTTGCAAGCGGAACTCGAAGAAGCTCTTCAAGAAGCAGAGGTATCAAAGCGAAGGAGGGATTGGGCTTTTAGTGAAAGAGATAAAATAGTTTTAGAAAGGGAAAGTATTAGAACTCTCTGCGATAGATTAAGAAAAGAACGTGATCGCGCGGTTTCGGAACTAGCGGGTGCTTTACGTGATTCTGATGATATTAAGAAGCAACGGAATGAAGCATCGAAGGAATTGAAGGATCTCAAAGAAAAGATAGAATCTGGTGATCATGCGTTAAGGGCAAGTCAATTTGTACAAAGCTTAGCGCATACACATGATTCAACGATCGATACCGATGTCAGTGACTGGGAAATTCTTGCTATACATTTAGATCTTAGTCGAGTTTGTTTGGATTCTGATCGCGATTTGGGATTGACATTAGTTGGCGGTCGTGACAATCCATATTATCCAAATGATACAGGAATTTATGTTGCTCAAGTGACATCAGGAAGTGCTGTTGATGGTAAATTAAGAGTGAATGATTGCATTATGCGAGTAAACAATGTAGATTGTACGTCTGTTTCTACGCGTGTAATTATGGAAACTCTACGTACCTGTTCGGTGGGATCAGCTACATTAACTGTTAGAAGACGGCGTTTGACTAGAAGATCGTTAAGAACAACGCAATTGCCTGTTGGTTCAGTTCCTCATGGTATTACTTTGGAACTTGGAGTATACATTTCAAAGATTTCGCCTGGTAGTTTAGCTGCTAAAGATGGCAATCTCGCTGTTGGAGATAGAGTTTTAAATGTACGTCTCACAAATGTTTTGCATTGACTTTTTATTCATTTATTCTTTTTATTCCTGGTATCAATTTAATTCTTTTTTCTATAGATCAATAGCAAGCCGATGGAAGGCATTAATTCCAGTCATGAAGCGATGGCAACATTGAATGATACAACTGCGGATGTGATAACTATTACGACCTTGAAAGGAATACCATTGCCTTCAGCAACTAGTTCTGAAACTATGACTATTGATGATAGCTTTGCCACTGAGAAGCAAAAAATGGTGAACAGTTGTTCTCAAACAGAACAAGAAAGAATATTGTTGAAGATCCCGTCAGACGATTACGAAAGAAGACACGTCGCTTCGAATTTCACTGATAGAAGTATTTATAAAATTTCGAAATCCGTTAGTGCTGAAAAACCAAGTGGAATTAGCAATGCTTGGGACAATATACGCGAAAAGATAGACATAGTACGGGGACGTAAGCACAGCAAAGATCGAGAGGAGAAGAAGAAACGACATCGCAACTCAAGTCCGAATACCTTTGAGCAAGAACAAGACGCGATAGCGGAATTGGATTCAGTAATTGAAAGCTACCACAAGAAAGCAAATAATGGCGTACTGAAACGAAGTAAGCGACGCGGAACCGAAAAAGTTGAGAAAAATGGAGGTACGTGGCCGAAAGCCAGAGGTGGGCCTCTGATTCAAAATGGTACTGGTACTATTTTACATCCACGTAAGACAAAAGAAAGGTTACCCTTAAGTGTACTCCTTAATCAACCACCAAAATATGAAAGTTATAATTATAATCGTATTTCTAACCCTATTCCCTTAACCAATTTCTCTAATGTAAACAACCGGCATACGGTTTATAAACCTGTAGAAAAACCATTACCAAATTTCCTTAAAACTGGACCGTTATTTAGTCAAAAATCCTTTACTCCAGTGGTGCAGTTCAAAGATATACCGATAGATAAGAAACCAGCCACCGAATTCGAGAACACGGAAAATAGACTCAGTTCTACGTTGACACCATCTGAGACTAGTATCGATTTTTCCGTGAAATCGGGAAATACCGGGAAAGACGTAGAATATTTCTCGAAGAAGAGAGCGCAAAAATATACTCCTAACAACGAGAGCCAAGTAGACACGCTACAGCATAATAGAGCGCAATCTCAACTTTATTCCGGGGCTGGATCATCAACTTCGTCGACCAGCGGCCCGAGACAGCAATTGACTGGTAATTTTTCATTTCCTCCCTATACGCATTCGCATCCGCATCCCCATCAACAAAATTCTTTACCTTCGAGATACCCTTCCCCGCCGTCTTTGCCGTCTGCACAGTCCGGCGAGTCAATAGGACTGCCCGATGCACGATCTTATTGTTTCGAACCTTCGTATAGCCCCGGCCCGCAAACAGGATTCGGGCATTTGCACACACCCTCTGTAGATTTGCATTACCACAAATCTCGCGCTCCACCAATTGGCACTACATACGACGTACCAGCGTACACGCATGGCTACGAAGGTGGAACTTTTCCAAGAAAAAAGGAAAATCAACGTTTTCGAATACCGTCAAATCCTAGTGTGACGTCAAAAAGCAGTGTGGGTAAATTGTCCACCGGCAGTATAGAAAGAACTTCGGAAAGAGGCAGTCCGATGCCAACATTCCATGTGGAAGTACTTAGCCCTGGTACCGGTGGCGGAACTAGTTCTGGTGGAACCATCAGAGGAAGTAGTAGCAACAAACGGTCCAGCATGCCAGACTATTGTTACTCTCAACCTAGACCAGCACCTGGAGAACTTCGCAGAGTTCATATAGACAAATCGGTCGAGCCCTTAGGGATCCAGATTTCTTGCTTAGAAAGCGGCGGTGTATTCGTTTCTACTGTTAGCGAGCACAGCTTAGCGTCTCAAGTCGGTCTTCAAATTGGCGACCAGTTGCTTGAAGTCTGCGGTATCAACATGAGGAGTGCTACTTATCAACTTGCTGCCAATGTGTTACGTCAGTGTGGTAATTCCATTACGATGCTGGTGCAGTACAGTCCAGACAGTGAGTACAAGTTTTATTGGAACAAGTTGTTTTATTGGAACAAGTAGAATATCATCCCTATCACAAGCTGCACTTTATACTTAAATCTTCTTGCACCTTTCTTATTAAACGTGATTATTATTTGTCATTATTGCATGGTTCTTACTTCAATGTAACACTGCGCTCATATATTACTTTTTTTCTTAGAATACAATGAATTAGAAGGCTCTGCCTCTTCAAGTTCATCAGAAGCTGGTGGTGCTGAAGGAGCTAGTCGTAGTGGATCACCAACTCCATGTAACAGTCCTGAAGCTCCTAGAAAAACAACTATTGAGCCATTGGAAAGTTCGGAACCTGAACGCGATGCTTCTAGTAGTTTAAGTACAACACGTGATACTTCTAATACCTTGACTATTATGCGTGAAACTTCAAATACTTTAGAACCACCTCGTACAATTCGAGAAAGAGACATCAGAAATTCCGCTTCCTTGGAAGTACCAAGCACACAACAGAGGGAACGAGAAATTAGAGCGTCAGCATCTTTAGATATTAATATCAGGAAACCGGAGCTTCGTAGTTCAGCTACGTTGGAGAGTATGCGTAATTCTGCAACTATCGATTCATTGCGTGGTACACGCGCGCAGCTTAACGTAGCGTTGCAACGGCAGAATGCTACTGTAAGAAGTCCGACACAAGAAGATCAAAATCGTAAAAGTCCGCCACCAAGTGAACCGAGATATCTTTTCATCGAAACGAGGAAATGTTCGAACTTGGGTATCTCACTCGTTGGTGGTAATGGCGTTGGAATATTCGTACACTCGGTTCAACCAGGGAGCCTCGCGGAAGAGGCAGGATTGCGTACCGGTGATCGTATCCTAGAATATAATGGTGTTGATCTTAGACAAGCAACCGCAGAACAAGCTGCCTTAGAATTGGCTAGACCAGCAGATAAAGTAACGCTGATTGCTCAATATGTACCTGAAAGGTATAACGAAGTAAAAGATAAACCTGGAGACAGTTTTTATGTGAAAGCAATGTTCGATCGAGTAGGCGAAGTTGGAGATAGCCTACAACTTAGGTTTAATAAGGATGATATTTTATATGTTGATAATACAATGTTTAATGGTACTCCGGGTCATTGGAGAGCTTGGATAGTTGATCAAACTGGAAGAAGACAAACATGCGGTATAATTCCGAGCAAATTCAAGTAAGTTGCAAAAAATATAATTTTAAAGAATTTCTCTTAGGATCATGTTTCATATTTCTTATGTATTCTATTATTATGTATCTGTAATGTCACTAGGGTCGAAGAAGAATTGCTTTTACGGCGTTCATTGGGCGATTTAGAAACAGATACTACTAGACGGGGTAGCACAAGTGCAAGAAGAAGCTTTTTCCGTCGAAAGAAACATCAACGTTCTTCCAGCAGGGATAGCAAAGAATTATCACATCTTACAGGAGTAAATTTGGGTTGGTACAGTGATAGTGGGACATTAAATGAAGAAACTCTCCCAGCAAGCTACCAGCGTGTTGAAAGATTAGATTGCAAGTATTTGTTGTACCAAATAATTACTTAATACACTGTTATTAATTATCATTAATCACTATTAAATTAATTCTATCGAAATACTAAATTTTATTAAAATTTTTATCTTCATACAGATCCAGCTTTAAGACCTGTGTTAATTATTGGTCCATTGAGCGAATGTGTAGTAACAAAACTATTACAAGAATTTCCAGGACAGTTCACCAGGTGTCTTGCAGAAGCTATGCACTGTTCTCAAGCGACGCTCGAACAAGGTTTGCGAGATTCACTTTATGTGGACTATAGAAAAAAAGGAAGCTATTTCGAGTGTACTACAGTACAAGCTGTCAAGGACATCTGTGAGAAGGTATCTTTTTTTATCCAATGCCTATACAATATTGATAACGTTATTTATAGTAAACGTATAAACACTAGGTTAAACACCTAAAAGTAGATCATTTAAAATTTATAGAATCGCGTGAATATATTTCTATTTTTTGATTTTTGATTTTTTGCCAAAACTTCATCAAGGTACATTTATTTATAGAATACTCACTGCATATTGGATGTATCGATTGCATCGATCGAGCGACTTCATCGACATCAAATCTATCCTATAGTTCTGTTGATTAAATTTAAAAGCACCAAACAAATAAAGGAGGTCAAAGATTCCAGATATCCAAGCGACAAAGTTAGTGCCAAGGCGGCCAAGGAGATGTACGAACAAGCATTGAAGTTGGAAGCTGAATATAAACATTATATATCTGGTAAGAATATTTATTAAATAAAAATGTAATTTTACTGTGAATTTGCTTCGCCAACGTTGTCACAATTTTTCGTATTTCAGCTGTAATTCCAGCTGGGGTAAATGTCGCGTATATATGTACGCAAGTGAAAGCCGCAGTAGATGAAGAACAAAGCAAAGCGCTGTGGGTTCCTAGAGGGCTTCCCTGACGTTTAAGGGGGGGTCCCCATAAACCACAGTGGAAATCAATCTAAATTCCACCAGGGGGCCCTTACGTTGTACGATTGTACAAAAATTGTTACAAGTTTGTTTATTTATGGTCTCTTTTTGTCACAATGGTATGTAAGAATTTCGATTACTTACTACGATCTTTTAAATTATTTTACTATTTATTCAAAGTGTAAGGTGTTTCTTTCCCTTTCTTTTTATCTTTTATTTTAAAAGATTCTGGATTATACAATTTATTTTAACCCCTAACGGACGTATCTTACCTCTTATGTGATACAGCAATTTTTATCATTAAGAGTACTTTGCTTTACCGGGCGCTGAACTGAAGTGTAATATAAAATTTTTTTTAGCGCAAGAATGTTAAACAATTGTTAAGAATTTCACGAATCTCTATATTTGTCGAACGCGAAGTAAAGTAGTCTCTACAAGTAACAGTCGTTAGCATTTTTCATCGTTTTAAATTTTTATCCATTAGAATATATGGATAACATGTATTGGAAATAGATAATTTGTCCGATGAATTTATAATTGTAAGCCGGGGGGAAAAAATTAAATCCAGTAATACTCTCATCCTCTTCAGACGAGAAAGATGAATCTTACATTATTTTAAAAAAATCAGATGGGAAGCGTTGACGTTCGTTAAGGGTTACTAAGCTTTGTCATTTAGTATTTTAATAAGTATTCAACATATTTCAGTAAATATTTGACTCTATTTAAATAACACTATCATTCCTATAAAATGTTATGGAACATACAAGATTTCATATAAAAAAACAATCTTAATATTTAAACATATATAGATAACATTTGTATTACAAAAAAAGAAAAGAAAAGAAGGAACAATACATTTCATATAAATTCTATGCTATAAATTCTATAACAGACCATTCGTGTATTACATTTCAGTATTTTATGGAACGAATCAATATGGTGTCAATTTTTTTTGATATCAATGAATGCAACATTTTTTTTTTTCGCATTTCATAGAACTTTGCTTCGGACCTCGATCGATCGTAATTTGTCAGTAAGATATACGGTTATGTAAAAATTATCTATTGCAGTCGGCGTGAGACCATAAATGAATCGATGTAGCAAGTAAAAATATTCATCGTATTGTGGCCCGCAAAACATTTGGTGGATGAATGTAAAGATCATTAGTTAGCTCATAAGTTTTGGCCACTAATGTTTGGCTGATGTTATTAACCTCTCAGATCATTTCATTGTACAGAATAATTTTGCGTGATTAGTATTATTGTACAGAGGATGTAATATTCTAAATTAAAGAAGTTACTTATTTGTATATAATTTACTTACGAAACTTTTGTGGCTTACGTTTAATTTCTAGTTTAAATGAATCCTTTAAATTTAAGTGATATTGCTTTTAGTTATATTGTTTCATAAAACTGTTCATAATTCATTTATTGAAGTTGTATGGCAGTCGGTTTGAGGGGTTAAAATTTTAATGTTCTTGCTCGAGGAATTGACAAAAAAAAAAAAAAAAAAAATCTAAGGAAATTATGAAATCGAAATTGAGAAACAATGGCTTGCGTTTGCCATTTCTGAAATTTGTAAATATTTGAAATGATAATAAGCAGTAGATATTCGTGACACAGACTAACTTGATATGAAATGCTCGTAACAAAATATAATAACGGAGTGTGTTACTGCTTTTTTTACTTCTATAGTTCGAATTATTTTACAGATTTATTACTAGTTTTTTTGATCAAATTAACATGCTTTGTAGGGTGCAATGATTGTACTTTCGAAGATATTTAAAATGCGAGTACATACTACTACGTATCTACATTCAGAATGCAATACATATTTTTTTATTGCATTTTTAACAATATACGTGTATGGCATACATTTTGTAAATAATCTTTTACTATGTTATTACCTTGAAAATTATATTTAAATCGTCCCATTTTTAGCCTTTTTTAACATTGTGATAATGAAATCTTTTACTTTCGTTTCTAACATCTGAATGTAGATACAATTTCGTATATATCATCAGAGAAAATTGAATACACCAAATGTATCAGGGAATATACAGAGTGTTCCAAAGTTTAGTGTTCAAATTTTATTAGTATATTCTGCAGGTAAAAATAAGACTAAAATCTAGCGAAAAACCCATAAATGCTTCGTTAACAAGTTGTAACAAAAATGCAAAGTGCGACAAACACGATCGATACAATTTCAATAGATTAGAACGGGAAGAACCTTGACATCCTAATCTCCCAGACTATATCTTGATTTTGCATCTTCAAATTTCTACTTATGGCAAATATTCATTACCTTTAAAAATAAAAATTTATAATGATATGAATTGATTACAAGAATCAAAAATATTTGATTTGGTGTGTTTCATATTTCTCTTATAACTTTTTAATGAAGTATTTACTTTTTACTTGTAGGATAAACTTGCGAAATTTGAACGCTAAACTTTAAAACACTCTGTATATCATAAAAATCTGTTAACGATGCTTCGATACTTAAATATCTTCTTTTTTGTTTTTAATTTTGAAAGCGGCTTACAATTTTTAATGATATATCGATGAATATCGAATATCAAAGTTTAATAACAATTCTTTCGAATTAAGAAATTAAGATAGTTTACGATAAAGAATGAAATGATTATCCAGATTTGCACGGAAATAGTGAAAGGCAAACAATTGAAGTTGAATATTACTTTTTATAAAAACAGAAATTTAGTTTTTTAACAAGACAATATTTAGGCGTAAGTTATCAAAATGAGACCAAAAATTAAAAGAATATTATGCTAATTCATAAGGATTACAATTAAATTTATTCGTATCGTTAGCGTCGATGTGTTTAATGCAGAAGTGTAGATATATACTTTTTGATACGTTGTGAAATCATCGATACGAATTTCTCAATTGAAAAGGCTCAAAAACGAAGAAAATGGGAGAAAATACAAGTTATAAAAATGATAAATGTTTGATACATTTGGCACGTTATAATAAACAAGGATATATTTCGCGGTTGTGAACAAGATTAAAATTAGGTATTTATTAGTATATAACATGAAACATTTTCGGGGAAAAAATATTTAATTCTAATTCTTTTAATAGGTAGGAAGAATAAATATGAATATACTTATATTGAATATATTTGCACACACATATGAATCTTGAACGTTATACATATGTTAGGTTTAGTATGTACTGTTATTTGTATTTACTACGGTTTTATTTATATTTTATTTTACATATTTTATTTTATTTTACAAATAATATTTATGAGATTACTAAATTTTATTTTTACTAAATTTTTACTAAATTTTATTTTTACTAGATTATTTTACTTCATATTGTTTTTATTGTAAAATATAAGAACTCTGCCAGAAATTATTCTCTGCAATAATTTTCTTTTCAACGTTTAATTGAGATGAGACACAATTGAATTATCTAATCCTATTGTAAAAAAAAAAAAAATACCAAAACATCATTGCATATATATATATGTTTTTTTTTCTCCCTAAAATGTAGTATTTATAATTTATGTGTTTAAAAAATAACATACAACAAAGTGTATGTTATGAAAACGATACGCACTATTATTCAATTTATATTAAAAATAAAATCACAATGAATATTGACTCTAAAAAAATGTCCAGATCATAACTCGTTAAGTAATATATGTCCTAATTGAAACGAAGTTGAATGTAATTTCATAGAATTTTCTTAACTATAAAGAAAAATATTGCAAACGTGCCGTATTGAATAATTTAGCAATAATTTGGTACAAAAGAAATTCTTACCTTACATAAGAATGTTGTATAACGAGTAAGATTCATTTGTGGAGACTTAATAAATTCATTTTCTCTCATACCATTGACACGTCTCCAAATATTTTATTTAAAAAAATAAGAAACAGAAGCTGTCGAGATTTGAATTAAACATAATTTCTACGAGGTGTAAAAAGAAAAATTAAGATAGGTCGAGGGCGAAGTGAAATGCCAAAAATAATAATTAAAAGGGAAAAAAAAAACAAGAGAAAGAAAAAAAGAAAACAATATCGAAAGAGAAGGGAGAAAAGATTAATTTTGTAATTCAATTATTCTGAATCACAGCACTGTGATACATCTAACATTACTGCTTTGATAACATATCAATTCACAATCCTTCTATATTATTATTATTATACATATACGTACATAGTACGAAACTCATATTTTGGGTAATACTTATATATACATAAATGTTATATATATATTTAACTACGCACTTTTACTATTTTCATAAGCACATGATTCTGAATCATTCAATACCCACATTACATAGCAGCATTGCGCGCAAATACGTATCTGAAAGGCAAAGTTGAAAAATGTTCAATTGCAATGTCGAGTGAATGGAAAATTTCAAATATTTTTCATCTATAAACTCACATAAAAGTATATATGTTTTGTGAAAAGTATTTAAACGTAGTTATATCTTTTTCCTTTTTTTTTTTCTTTTTTTATTCATTTCTGATGATTATTTTGAATTTATGAAAGAAATATTTCTATTTACTATTATTATTGAATTCTTTAAAAAAATTTCAATTTCTAATATCAAGATATTATTTCTTTTATTTTACACCGCCAATCATCGATGGCCGACTTGGCGTTTATAATAAGTTAAAAAAGCGTAATTGAATTTGTCTAATCAGAGAAAGAAACCACTCGAAATATTTCCAAGAATATTTAATACGTAATTGACGCGCGTGTTGGGTGATGCAGCTAATAAAAACAATTAAGTGTACAACCATTAATTACTGGCGATCATTGAAGCGTTTATGGTGATATATATATACATAGACGAGAAGGAGAGCCTGGCGATTGGGTTTGAGAAATACGCGATAATAGATTGATGATCTATGATTCTGATTGCGGTTTGTTCAAACAATGATCGCGACTAGTCTTCGATAGTATTCTATTTTCTATAACGAATTTCTCCTCGCAGTATCACTTGTATGCTCCAATCGAAATTTCGTCGTCTTTAATATCATTGTGTCCGACATTATATTCATTGTATTTGTGTCGCACGATTTGTTTAACGAGTAACGATGTATATGCGCATCATCACTGAAAAGAGTTTATTCTAAACTTCGCTAATTATAAGACATAATTTGACATTATATTTAATTTCTCTTTCTACGTTTATTCTAAATAATTTCATTTAAACTCGAGTTCAGCAAAATTTTAATATTTCATCGCTTTTATAAAAGTTCCTAAAAAGCAAAAAGTTCCGATGTATTAGAAGATGAAGATTTAGATGCGCGAGATATGAAAATATACTTTTATCTTTCTATTGTACAAAATTTTTCTGTTAAGTCTGAATCTTAATTCATCTTTAGCTTTCGTCTAAATTTGAAATCTCTAATTCAACTTGGTGCTCTGTCTGTTCGTATATATATTTCTTACATAAGAATATTCTCTTATCAGTGTAATCGTGAGCATTTGTGCGCATTTTGAAACTTTGTTGTCGGACGCTTTAAAATTTTTCGCACTTGTACACGTACATGTATATCTTTCGTTTAATGTATTTTAATTTCTGATACACGCATAAATTTGAAAATGACTTTCGTCGTTGAGCAACAGAAAAATTTCTTAATTGGGCATGCAAAGTGTCTTCTTCGTCTCTTCTCATCGGTAGAACCGTCTTTAAATCAGAGTATTATCATCAGAATAGTATCATCTTCTTCCGACTAAGAAAACGTATATGTATAAATACAGATGTAACAATGTTATGAGCGTAGATAAATTAGATTTGAGTATTTTTCAGTAAGAAGTATTTATAATTGTCGATGATAACGTTTAATTCACATATTTAACACTT